GGGGGGGGGGGGGGGGGGGGGGGGGGGGGGGGGGGGGGGGGGGGGGGATTCGGCGTTCGTCAGCCGCCAGAGTCATTTGTAATTGCTGATGAATGAGCGACTCGGATAAATAAATAAGCGCACTGTATGTGACCCGCCCGGCGTTTCCCAGGCTGTGGGGCGCTGCGTTTGGGTGGCAGGGGAAGGGACAGCGGTGGGGGGGGGGGGGCAGAGGGGGCCACAATTGATTTCCTCATTGCTTCAGTTTGTCGCTTAATCTGGCGATATGCTGATAAATCTTCACACTTTGTCAATTAATTTCCCTGAAAAATGAGACCCAAAATGGCGAGCACATCAATACAGCAGCGGATTCTGTGTCAAAAATTAAGCGGTAAAATTAATTGCCCTCCCATCCGCTCCTGCTAAAACATAACTAATGAGGGAGGCAATTATAGCTTGCATGCAGACTCCTCCGGGGTTATTTAAAACATAAACGCGCGCACGCAACCACACACACTTATGCAGCACATGTATATATGCACATACACACACACACACGCAAGAAGAGGTTGTATATTTGACTTCAAAGTTCTTTTATTGTCTGGCAATAAGGTATTTAGAATTCTAGCAAGGGGTGGAGGGTTGAGGTGCATCATGGGAACAAAGAGAAGAAGTGACATAAAAAAAAAAGAAGTAAGTATAAGTGGTCCGCAGCAGGTGTGTTGGTAGGAGACGTGTTTCAGGGCGTTTCTGTGCCCAATATCCCTTTTTCTTCAGCCTTTTTGGGGCAGGATTGGATTGGATTGTCTCTCTGTAAAGTTTGTCTGCGTTTCACATTTGAGTGCAAGGGTCTTTGGTGGCGTGGGTCAGCTCTGGACAGCACACAGAGCCGGGTCCGAGCCCGTCAGGCCTCCCGACCGCCCTGCCCACCTCGCCGTCTCCGCCCACACGCCCAGAGCGGCGGATGAAAAGCACACGTGTAATTTATCGCCCGGGTTTCCTCCTCAAGAATAATTGTGGCGGCCGCGGCCGGGCAGAGGGATCGATGGCTATGGATTTTTTCTGCGGTGGGGTCTTGTAGCGTCGGCCGTAATGAGAGATGGAGGGGAGGCCGAGGGGAGCGGGGGGGAGTGACTGGCACTGTTTTATTTTATTTTTCTCTGATGGGGATAAACAGTCCGGTAACTATAACTGGTAACTCGCCTAGACTTTAGAAAGGCAAGAACAAAAAGTGTTATTTCAATTTAGGCTGTAAAATGAGCCCAGCAAAAGGACTGAGAACCCATCCGTCTTACTTTTACCAAACATGCGCTCTACACTCCACGACTTTTGACAACTGCAGTCATTTGTACTCATTGTTGCTGCTTGAGTCCTGTCTGTCGTTGGAAGTGAGTGTGCTTCTCTCAGGCGGTGCGAACACCACATTGTGAAATAGATTTATGTAAGGATCCATGGAAGCCTTAATGTTGATGTGCAGACAAGCGTCCGGCGTGCGGTCTCGTCCATCCTTTACGCTCCTGGACCTCCTTCATACAGAGTCTCAGGCTCTGTGGGACTTTTGAAGCTTCATCAGAAGCGATTCTTGAGAAAGGAAAACTGGAGGCCAAGGGTGAGACATGCCAAATGTCTCTAGAAGGGAACCGAAAACCAGCGGAATGTCTGTCAGGCCTCAAAATGGCGGATGCCTTGTTAGTTACACAATGGAAGGGGATGGGGAACACCTTGGAGAAGCTGGTGATCCGGATGGAGGGAAACCAACACAATTCGGCTGGATTGGAATCGTCATTGAGATACCTGCCGATGACTTAAGACAGACAAAACACCCTCTGTCTGGATAAAGCTAGCTGTCTTATCTCAGTCTGGCCTCCTGAGAGCGGCCTTGTAGCTGCTACTCTGCAACTTTGCCCCGGATGAAACTGCAGACGGAAACCTATGGGCATCACAAGGACAAATTCCATCAAACCTGTGGATTGTGGACCTCCAGCTTGCTTACACTTACACACACACACACACACACACACACAAGTACAGACGTCATGCACTCCTTGGACTCACTGCCCCGGTGCTACCTTTCCCCTTCCTCCAACCCCCCATCCCTCCCTCCCCATATGTGTCCTCGATGTTGGGATTTCACTGTATCGGTGCGTAAGTGTACTGGTGCGTTTTTCTTGAATCATTGTTATGTCCCCTGTAGGGGGCGTGACACCGGGCCTTTTTTTTCCCCTCTTCCCGCAACCCCTTGTTTTTCAGAAAAAAAAGGGGGCGCTTTTCGAGAAGCTGACCCACAGTCTTCCCGGACCTGTACGTCTATGTGTCTGTTTTCGTATGATCTCGGACGGGCTGTACTGAAATCTGAATTTCCTGAAGGAGTAATCCCAAGGGATAAATAAAGCCGAGTCTAAAGTCTAAAAGGCAGTAGGCTTTAGGATGTCCCACAAGAAGCCTGGATAGCTTTTCCTGAGCACTACTTAAAGATACGGATGCTCCGTTTTTTGCTTTCTGTACTATCAGAGTTTATAATATCAGAAAAGTGAAAAAAGCTGAACAAAGTGAAAACGCTGTTTTGGAAAAAACTCCCCCCCCCCCCCCCCCACTTCCTCTAAGTGGCGGCGCATTAAAAACTCCTCTCACAGTCGAATGACTCGGAATGAATGTGACAGAGCAAACTTGAGGCTGCTTTGTCTCTACGGACTCGGCGAAAGCTGCTACGCTGCCGGGGGGGGGG